ACCAAATAACAAATATACAAGCATTATAAAACCATCGATTCCATTAAAAATGAATGAATGCAAATAAAAATTGAATATTAGTTACATTAAATTCCTCACTGTTGTCCAGCTATGCGTAACTCAAATGGTAAATATTCTCGCGTTGTACTTGATATATGTATAAAGTAGGTGTGCACTTGTTTGCAGGTGTGATGGGGCAAAAACAATAAAGATCCAAGATACGAAAAATTGAATGATTCTGTGAAGCAAAATGTGAGAAATGAAATAAGAAAGATAAAAATGTGAGTAATAATGTATGAGTGACGAATTCTGAAAATCTAGAATATTCGAGGGCCTAAAATGGCCTAATAAACACACTCACCTTGACAATACACTTAATCCTTAACTGCCTACAGCTCTCGTAGAATCGTCTCAGATTTCTTCAAATACATCAACATCGTACACAAAAACAAAACAGAAAATAACACAGTGTTCACACAGATATTAATATTCCAACTGAAACTTGGAAAGCAGTTAAAACGGTCAGAACGGTTGGAAGTCAAACACCAATATGGCGCGCGGTGGTAAGTGGACAAAGACCACGCCAACGGTAATTAGTTGGCCGGACAGACATGCGGAAATGCGGACCAACGCGGGGTTGAGCCCTGATCCTTCTGTGCCGACGGGGGTCGATGCGTCCGGTATCCACGGGGTGGACTTTCCCCGTTCGTTGGCGCCGACCAGCCGCTCGTCATTACTGAAGTTACGGTATTCATCTCAGACCCGAACAGCCGGGTTCCACAGGCGACCTGAGTACGGGGTTGACAACCAGGAGTCACCTGGGTCTTTATCAGACAGTCGTTCCTCAAGCTCGTACCTCAAATTCACCGAGCAGGTCCGCTCACGTAGCGGACCACTTTTTTTTCCGTGAGGGAGTTAGCGAAGGAGATGATAAAGCGCCTGCATGTTAACAAAAAGGTGAAAATTTCACAGGAAGGCATTTACGCTTCAGAAAGTAGTCCAGCCCCCCCCCCCTCCGAAAAATCGTCGAAAGTCCATGAAAAATGAAATCTCACTACGGAAAAATTTACACTGGAAAAAAACACATTGAATCCAGACTCTTGAAAACATTGAGAAGAAAAATACTCTTGATTCCATCGGATTTTTGCTTGAATCAAATAGAAATTCGCTCGAATTAAGAGGCTTGGTTCTTGATTTAAGCTAGATTCTGATTGAATCAAGAGTACTTTTTCTTGTCGATGTTTTTAAGAGTCTGGACTCTGGATCCAATGTGTTTTTTTCCAGTGTAACTTCATTCAGCGAAATTTTATTTTGTATCCTGGTCACTGGTCAGTGATGAAAATTGAAACTGAACGTTGAAATTATCATGCATTCGACAGGTGCGTTCGAACGTAGGGGGTGAGCGAGACGGGGCATGCGAGGGGGGATTGCGGACGCTGCTGCTGCTTGGAGCCTGTGAATGAAAGGGGAAGAGGGAGAGGGGTAGAGTAGGGGGCGGGCCTACGCCGCAGTGCCCGCCTCGCGCCCGCGAGGTCGATATGGCGGGTCGCGGTCGTGATCGCGATAGTGCCGTGTCGCGCACCCGTCGCAAGTAATTCAGCTGTTAGGGGGTTCCAGCTCCTTGGAGTCGTATTTGTAAACATAGCATCATAAAAAAGACAATTTTTTCAAACCTCACGTAAGATTCAACAGTATAAATTTTTAAATGCGGGGCTTTAAGAGAGATAGTAGTAATTTAATAAACTTTTTCATATTGTGTATTTTTTGTAGAGGTAATCCTCACTATCTCCCTCAAAGGCTTGAGGCTATTAGAATAGGTCATGGTCTATACTTCCCTAGGAGGTAAAAATGGTTATTTATAATCATTCTATTAAAAAAAATTCCAATTTCCCAAATTCAATTTATTAAATTTTCAATTTTCTCATATCTATGCATAAGGTGAGTATAATTGATGTATGCTAGATTTAATATGTAGTACGAGTGTAAGTATTTTGGTCTTAATACTTTCCCGCATATTATTTTTATACAATTGGATTTTAGCTCACTATAACTTGGGTGTAAATCGCATCACTTATACTTTGTTTTGAAAAAAAGAGATGTAAAATTTACAAATTTATACTGCTGTATCTTACTCGAGGTTTGCAAAAATTGTCTTCTCTATGAAGTTATGTTAATAAAATGAAGAGCTATATGCATACCCGAGTAATGCACCTTCAACTTCAAAACTAGGCAACAAATAGCACCATTAAGCACGTATAGTCGCATCTCCTCTCCTGAACTGGACGTCCACGATCCTCAATATAAAGCAGTGGTCCACCCTAACTTAAGAGGTAATATTGATTGCATCTGATCTTTTCATAAAAAAAATTGCTTTCATAACACGCCGAACATTTGCACATCGTGTCCACTGACTGAAGTCCACAAAATAAGTTGTTATATTCAGGCATTCGAGTTATTTTCTTTTCATTTTCGTTATTGACCCCAAGTTTAAATAGGCTCATATCGCTTCGTGTGTATGATCAGTTTCTGTTCCTTTTATCCCTACAGGCTGGCCATTAAAATTTATAGATAAAGCTATGAAAAGGAAAATAGAGAGAAAATGGAGCGAACCTATTGGTGCAAGCGAGTGGTTGCATGAGCGAAGGTGGTAAGTAAACTAACTAATAGCAAACCCTAATGCGAGTCCGTCATTTGCCTCAACAGAGTCGGACTGGCTCGCAATTGAGGGCGTAGACCCTTGGCTGGTTAAAGGGGCGTAGTGAGATATTTCCTGGGAGGGCACCCCCTCCGTGGATTGGGGTTCAGACAATTTTGGCGATGCAGCACAAGTTTACGCTATTTTCAGGTTCAAAGTTTATTAATTGTACAGTGTAAAAATTGCGAAATTGAACGTATTGAAGTAACCGATGGACTTCTAACATTAAAGAAAAAATGAAAAGTCAAAGCTACTAGACGCATCTGAGCACCATTTTTACTAAAGGAAACCAAGCCATAGTTGCGGTTTACACAAGCTTTAGATGTGAGTCTGCAAATCCATCATAAAAAAGAAGGAGAATTGAGTATCAACACAGCCGTGAACAGGAGAGATGCGTTCGGGCCTCTCCTTTAACTTTTCTCCCGAATCCGAGTGACACCTCATTGGCAGCATAGAGCGGAGCATTGCGAGTTGACGCCTCGCGCCATCGCGCCTTCAATTTTTCAGATGCAGCACGGACGGCCATCAAGCACGAATAGTTGTATCGCTGCGCCGTCGTCGAGGCGCTACGCGCATCTTTTCCTTTGATCTTTTCCCTCGCTCACATGAGCGAAGGAATTGTGTTTGTTTATATCATGTGAAGAAATCTTCCTCATATTTTCTCGGCGGTAATTTTTGTTACTTTCTTATTCTGCTGTCTGTCAGAGGGGTGCATTTTCGCCGTGGCAAGGAGGGGTATCTGCCAATGGCAGATTGGTCTTATTGCCAGTTAGGGCCTGCTCGCAATCAGTCTATAACAATCACCCGTCTTAGCCCATAGCATCGCTCCATTTTCCGTTTGTCTTTTTTGTTCATCGCTTTGTCTATTCATTGCAATTTGCCCGCAAGGGTACTTTATACAAAGTTTCAAGGTGTCATGTTATTAATTAATTCAAAATGATTCTTAATCGGTAATGCCTTCGATTTATTATATACTGTCAAAAACTACATAAATGATGGACCAAGCACATGATGGAGAATTTGCACGAAATTCTTATTGCTGCATCTGAGAGTGTTTATTGATGAGCTGCGTTCACGGTATTCTTCATAATTTTTTTTCATATGGGAAATTTTAGAAAAATGGATTTAAAAGAGAGAAGTTGTGGCATTATCAAGCGGTCTTTTTCATGTATTAAACACATTATATTTTGGCAGATTAGTTCATCTAGTCGCATATCTCCCCCAATAAATTTTCATTTCTCGGAAAAATGGTCATGGATTATCCCCTAAAATATGGTACCACCCAAATTGACTGGATATATGACATTTCAAATTAATTATGATTGTACCGCATCTCAATTTGGGGTACTACCGCAACGTTTGGGTTTGTAACCGAATTAATTGGGGTATAACCACAATTAATTGGGACACTAGGACCACAATTAATGAAAAATTCCAAGTGAGGACTTAATCCAAATCTTTTTTTCCTGTTTAGAAACCAAGGATACTCTTATGCTCAGTTCACTCAGTAGTCTCTCCTTTAACATGAAATTTACAAAATTTCTAACACCTCATCCAAATTCTCCATTCAGAATGCTCATATCCTCACAAAATTTCCTGAAAAATCGAAATTTAACCAAATTTTTCAAAATACGAGAAAATTATCCACTATTCTTTACAATTATATATTTATTAGAATATCAGTATAGTTTGATTGATTCTTCATGTTTGATTTAATTCACAAGATTTCTGACACCTTCATATTCTCGATTCAGAATGCTCATAGCCTCACAAAATTTCCTGAAATATCGAAATTTAACCAATTTTTTCAAAATATGAGAGAAGTATCCGCTATTTTCATAAAAATTGAGGGTAAAGTTTGATATTCCTTGTCGAGCCTGGAAAAACATGGGTCATCAGCGAGATCCGGCAGCAGGACCTCGCGGGTCGACAAGGAAACAAAAAAAAAAACGAAAGCAGAGGAAACGAGCCGGTGTGGGGACCGCGAGTTTGGAGCGGAAGAGGGACATAAAAATACAAAATGGGAACAAATACAAATGGAATGATGTAGTAAAACTAATTGAGTATTTGAGGGGAATCGGCCGGGGAGCCAATGGTAGGGTCGCGGGGCGTGGCGAGGCCGGAATCATGCACTACGCCGCTGCTTCATTTACCCCGGCCGCGGGGCAATCCGAGCTCCAATCCGAGCCATTTACCCCGACCCCGCACCCCCCACCCTCCCCCACTGCCACCCGCGCCCTCCGCGGTAACTAACCCTTCCGGATTTCCACGTCCCGTGGCTCCGATTTGAGAAATCACCCTCAGTTGTCAAGCTCGTGTCCCGTTGACCGCTTCTCCATAGATTCCTCCACCCACGTTTTTTTTTTCTCTCTTTTTATTTTGTAAACATCATTCAGTTTGGGCCCCTGTTGTGCGTTCTGTGTTCGACGTGCCCGCTCTTCGTTTTTCATCGTATCTGAATTTCGATTGGATAAAAGTTGCTGTTGTTTGCGTGTTCAGATCCAAGTCGGTCTCGTCGGCTTCAACCCAAAAACTCAGGTAGGTTTGGAGTTGAATTTTTTGGATCGTGAATCCATCACGAATCGATCAGTTACAAAAGGGCTCCTCATAAAATGAGACTTCGAGAAAAGTGGTAATAACCGTTTTAATTCTCAGAACTCTAAATATTAATGTGATGAATTAATTAATCACATTATTAATTAATCTGCAATTTAAAACGGATTAATTCGTACAGTTACTACTGTTTTTTTGGTATTTTTATAGCTGGCACTTGAGCCCTTTTGTGCTTGACTGATTCAATTTAGAGTAAGATACGGAGGGCATAAAAACCAGTTTTTCAAAGAAACCGATAAAACATAAGTTTCGAGAAAACGTGAAAAAAATGTTGATTTCTTTCGATGATGCCGAATATTTAAGGCACTTGGAGGACAAGGCGCATAAGCGCAGTTTTTGGACAAATTGAGATATTCATGAACTCAACTAAAACTAGTTTGAAAGTGTATTCTGTGAAATATTCACAACTAAAATCCAGTCGAGCTCAAAACTGCGTATTGCCCATTGTTTACTGGAAACGTAACTTTGGCTCCTCTCAGTAATTCCATTCAATCCCATTGGACTGCTTTTGAAATAAGGAACTACTATTTATGACGCATTTTATGTACAGTATAAGTGTCATTCGTTTCCTAATGCAGATAGGCGCTTTGGTGAATGAGCCAAAAGTAGTACCTATGTAGTTCCTCATTACAGCACTCACTGCTGCAAATCTGAGGATTTGAACAATTTTTATTTTGACACAGGAGCTCTTGTGTAAAAATTCAATCAATCTGGTACTGCATGTGAAAATTACCTGGTAAAATAATTCATTTATCTACTCTTAGTTAATTTATTCTTAAAGTAGAATTGAACGATGATAGGAATATCGTGATAATAGCTGTTCTTCGTGTAAATTTTTGTCCAACCGTGAAGTGCGTGGTTCATAAAAATTTACTGTGAGGGACAATTTGACGGCTCCTTCACGAAAGAACGTAATTATATTTGAATGTATAGGAAAATTTCCCCTCGCAAATTGCAACTTTTACCGTGGAATTGTGAGCGTATCCGAAAAATTTCGCTGATTTTTTATCTGATCTCGTGCAAAAATCATAAAAATTCTGAACGCAAAGTGCAAAGGTTCGTTCTTGTAAAAAATCAAATTATTTGAGTCAGTTATGAAACCTTGGAATGGAGTTACGTTCGGGAAACGACGGATTTTGCGTCAACAGAGGTATGGGTCAGTTGCGTTTGTCAGAGAATCGTGTTTTGATTGTTTGCGCTTATAAAAGTAGCAAAATATGGAAAGATTTGTTCAAAACCCCAAGATTTTACGCTCAAAGCCAGACTAAGAGAGATGTCAAGAATCGAAAAATACGGCTATTAATTCTATCGCCGCTGAGGAGTACAACTTCCGGGCAAATAATTAAGAAAGGAAAGTTCTGAGTTCTTTTTAAATTTTAGCGATTTCCAATCCTATACTATTTACATTTAATTTTTTGCTTATCTACAAGCTTTTGTCAAAACACGCTTCTGTGACCAGCGCAACTGGTTCAGTATTAAGAATAGGGATCAAACGGAACAATAAACATTGTCTCAAGAATCGCCCATACATTGTGAGGAATGGATTTTTCCAAAATCAATACTACTCTTGAATACTCTTGAACACAGCGTGTCATAATCAGCAGACATTTCCCCCTGATCATTTCTTTTTTCGTGCATTTTTGCCAGTCTAGTACAAAAATGGAAGAAAAACCCCCATGTTTGAAAAATTTAATTCAGAGATAAGAAAAAAAAAAAAAAAAAAAAAAAAAAAAAAAAAAAAAAAAAAAAAACACTCTATAAATTGTACATTACGTGATCAAAATCTCCAGGTGTTATCTTGATGTCTTATGCTGTTGAACCGTTCCTATCCAGCCAAGTTTAGTGAGTAATTCTGAATGATACAATTTTATGGTCTGTGAAATAGAAATTATGAAAATCAGAATTATACTCCAGTTTTCAAGTGTTTGAAATGCATTTTTTTTCACAGTAAAGAAAATTATATGTATTGTGAAACGGGTCTTACGACCCATCGGTGAAATTGCCCAGTCCTTGAACTGGGTAGCCACAGTCTGCGGACTGGCCAATCAAGAATCTAAAATTCACGCAAACTCATTAGTTTTAAATGCAATCCATACGCTAACCGACAAATTGACGAATTCTAGACAAATTGACACATTCGCCGATTTCTGACGAATATTTCACGAGATTTTCAATGAAAGGTATGTATGTGGCAAAATAAAAACTTGCAAAATTAATACTTTACGGGTCAAGTAGATGTTGCATGGTTAAAATTGATTTTTTTAAAAAATTCTCATATGCATTCTCAACAAATTACTAGTTTTCTTTAAAACCGAAGCATCCGGGTAGACAACCCCGATTTATAACAATTTATTTTTCCAAAGGAGAGATGCATGAAACCAACCAACAGAAAATAAGTGATCATTGACAAAAATATCTATGAAAGTTTGTTCTGAACTTATTTCAAAAGCTGGGAATTATAAAATCCTTATCGTGAAACCAGGACGAAGTCGCATCTTTATTACTTACCGTGGTCCAAAACTGTGAGCGGAGGAGCTAAAATGAAAGCCTAAAATTCGTAGAATAATCAGAGAGTGAGACTTTTTTTGATCGTGAAAGGATTGAGATGACAATATTTCCTCTAAAAAGGCAACTTCGTTATTCAGGTGCCAAAACTGACAACTCCCGCGGTCCGCCTCCAAGGACGTGAGAAAAGAGGTAAGCGCCTTCAGTTTTTGAATATGCAACACACGCATCTGCGGAACACGAATAGTTGCATCAGAGCGCCGCAATTAACTCAGCACCTAAATACTTGTAAATATATTAATAAAAAGAATAGATTTAATGATTAACATTAGTAAAAAGAGAGGTAGAAGAATATATTTAATGATGAATAAGTGCTGTACGAATAAATCTCTTTAAAGCGGGAGACTATTCAATTTCTGGATACACAATAAGCACATTTGAAGTACTAAAAAGCAAATAAAATTTTAGAGAAACTTCCAAAATAAATTTAAGGAAAATTAAATTGTAAAATGTTTTTATAAAACCATTTTTAATGGATTGTCTACGTTCAAATTTCGTGAAGAATCTCGCGGAATTTAGTCAGAAATCAATTGGTGGGGGACATTGTTGGTTAACGCATAGGTTATATTTAAAATTTATGAGCGGTCGTTGGCATAATTTTCCGATTTTTGAGTTGCTAATCCGCGGACTAGCTGCCCAGTTTACAGCCTGGGTAATTTTGCTAACGAGGCGTGACACGGCTACAAAATGGCGTGACATTCAGAAGATCTTAATATATACAACTACTTGAGCGTTAAAAGGGTGGACTCTCTCGGAATAATTCGTGATTTTGTAATGTTGCTTAATCTCTGAAAAGAAAGAACTTGAATAAATCCAATTGATTTCTAAGTTGCTGATGTGAGCATTGTCATTTAGACCTCTTTGCTGATCCGTGTTGCAGCTATTTGCAAATTTTTCTCATCTTAATCCAACTGTTCGTAGGTGCTCTGATAAGCTATGTATATTTTGTTAAAATAAAGGTAAAAAAAATCTCCATAACTCACTACGCTAGTGGAAATGAATATCTACATACTTGAAAAAAGGAGTTAAACCTGTGCCGATCCGAACCAACGACTGCAGCTTAAAGTGTTTTGATTATATTATTACAGTTGCGGGCGGTGTATTTTCAAAAAAAAAAATTCCAATTTTAAATGCTTGTATGATAAATTCAAATATAGGATTTTCGCACTGAATTAAGGACCAATATCTGTGTTTAAAAATTCGTATTTAATTGCAAAAAGTTCATATCATGTTTTGACTGCGTTCATTTTGGAATATGCCACTAAAAACAGTCTAACGGACCACATGACAACTCTCTTAAATCTCAGGATAACTATATCAAAGTGATTTTAAAAAAAAAAAAAAAGACAGACTAGTTTATATTGATAGCAACTGAAGCTGAAAGTAGACAAACTTTGCACTTTTGCCTTTCATTTTATTTTTATGTTTATTTGATTTTTTTTTCTCGTTTGAAAGAATGAAGAAATCCATCATTGCCTCTAAAATGTGTTTTTTGATATTTCTATGATTAATCATCGGAGGCGATAACAAAGTCACGAGTTAATACTAATCTTTTTCTGGGCTGTATGACATCGTTTTCGAGCATGGAAATTCAACGGAAAACTCTCACGTTCACGTAAATCTTTTTCCCCCTGTAAATAACCGAATTCTCTCATTTTTGTTTCTCTTTCAAGATAAATTAATTACTGGAGATGTTTTTGAAAAATTCCATCTGTGATTTCACTAAGTTACTTGATAGTTAGCGATGCCATAAGTCTACGTACCCCGGACATGTCCTCGTTTTGGCACCCAATCCGGGATGTCCGGGGAGTTCCTGAAACACGCGGAAATGTCAAGGTTTTTAAGGACTTTTCACTCAAATTCAGTTTTTGAGCTGTAAACAGTCAGAAATCATCGCAGAGAAAAAAGCTTACTTTTCTGGTTTGCACGGTGGATCAAAAAGACATATCTTTAAGTATAGTTTTATTTTTGAATTTGCCGCGCGGAAGGTACATCTTCATCCTAAATTGAGAAAGAGAAAAAAAGAGAAAAAAGTAAGAACATTGAAGCCGGTATATAAGGAATGTGAGGATGTCTTTTTAAAGCAAATGTCCTCTTTGTTTGAAACAACTGTCCTCTTTTTGACGTATGAATGGATTGCATTTTGCAACAAGGAACCAGGAGCATTGCAATGTTGCAAAGATTGTGCAACTTCTTTTGTCTTGGGAGAAAAACCTGATTATCCATTGACAGTTCCTATTTCACTCGCTAAAAACTGTATTTAAGACAAAAATTATCATCTAAATGTCTTATTTCTTCATGATTTCAGTAATTTTATTGCAAAGGCATCATTGCAATGTTTCTGGTTCCTTTTTGCAAAATGCAATCCAAATGTCCTTTATTTGCCCTCTTGGTATTCAAAGCGTTCTCTTTTTATCCTCATTTTTTGCTCACCCAGCGGGCCGATTATTGAAACTGATAGACAAAGCTATAGACGACAAAAGGGATTTGAAGGGATCCTATTGGTGGAAGCGGGTGGTGGCAATGGACTGACTAACGGCAACCCACCAAAGACCCGACAGTTAGTCCATCATTTTCTTCCTTAGTCTATAAGAACCAACCATGTCAACCAATAGGCTCGCTCTATACTCCCTATGTCTTCTTTGTCTATCGCTTTGTCTATCAGTTTCAATAATCGGCCCGCAGTCCTCATTTTTAATTTTTAGGTATGGCAAAGCTAATAATAGAGTATTTTGACTTTATTTGTTGCAGATTGAACTCCTAACAGAAAATTGGGAAAAAAGAATTGAGCTTATAGACAGTGTTGGAAACTACACTGAAACCACTCTACCAATTTTACAAGCAATCTTTCGAGGATAAAATCACATAGACTGAAATCAGAATCACACGTCGTGGGAAAGAACACTAAAAAGTGTGATGTGAACCTAACCGACAGAGACTCGAGCGACTCGACGTTCATGGTATTATGTGACCGTCGAGGGAAATCTCCATTGATGAGGAGCTCAGCCACGGTAGCTTTTCGCGTTTGGGAAATTTCGGGTAGTGAGGTTTTCTAATGATGATTCAAAATCCGATTCTGGATTACAGCTCGACGTTGAGTCATTTTCTGGGGTTGCGCCCGCATCTGCTGAGCGTGACGCCGAGCAGCTCCGGGAGCGAGAGCGGAGAGAGCCCGAGTCCACCGATGCCGCGCAAGTCCTTCACCATCGACGCCATCCTCGGTCTTCGCCCGAACAAGCAGGCCCAGATCGGAGCCAACGCCGCCCTCGACTTCTCCGCCACGTCCAACTGCAAAAGATCATGTACGTAGCATTTGCCGTTCTCTATCAGTATAGTCATCATTCATTGCTCTGACCAGAGCCGCCCAATCACAGGATGAGCCCCTGGACAAATATGGACGTAGTTCTGCTGCACGGGACCAGAGACAGGTGGGAAAGAAGGGATGTGCTCGTTAGAGTACCTGTATAGCGAGAGTATAGACACATGTGAAACTCCGAAAATTCATCAGGCCTTCACCGATGCCTCCGCGAATAAAGTTAGGGCCCAGAAATGCAGCCAACCTATGAATTTCAAATGTCCAGAGCGATTTACAAATACAATTGTTACGAACCGTCGTTTATAAAGCATGTGATTGGCTTACTTTTTGCACAATTTTACTTATTTTTGCGAAAGAACGCTCATTTATGTACATTCTTGGCCATCTTGGTTAGAATTGAAATCTGTAGGCTGGCAGTGAAATTTCGTGTGTTAGAAATTGCTCAGAAGGGTGGCTGCACTTTTGGGCCCTAAGCTCTTCATCAAGCGATCTGTCCATACTCTCGCTATAAAGGTACTCTAGTGCTCGTCAATTGAGGGCTGTAAGAATGAATGGTAATTATAATGCGCCAGTGACGTCAGAGACGACGACGGAACCGACGCTCGACGATCCGACGCATTAACTTATGAGCCTTGTCCACAACGTTCTTGTCACTTGCCCAAGGCAGCAAGGCTTGTGAGTACCACATACAGTTTTTCCGTTTGGTACAATGCAAAATCCCGCTTTTCCATCTCCCCAAAGGTAAAAGCGCCCACTTATACATTGCTTCTTATCCATTTTCTACAGCATATCTCATCTTTTACACTTGTTTATAATTCAATTTAGCAGAGATACGTCCCAATTAAAAGTGACGAGCTCATGCAGCAGGCGGGGTGTGGGGCGTCCTTAGGATATTTTCGAAATTTAATGTGTGGAGATGCAATTCATAGGCGGATCCAGACACGTCGAGTAGGCGGTCAGAAGGGCTCACCTCAGAAAATTTCCGAAATTTCAAAGCATAACGTGCAGTTCGCGTCAATTTCGTCATCAATAATTTCCGAATATAAGCGTTCTTCCTTCTTTTTTCCCTTGTTCCTTCTTCCATCCTTCTTCCTTCTTTCTTTTTTCTTCCTCCTTTTTTTGGGCAAACGGGGGGATGTACGCATCGCACCCCCTTGATCCGTCCATGATGCAGTTCTGAGCTTGAATCGTTCTAAAGCCCCTCGAATAGCTGCGATACAAGGATCAATCATGTCTCCCGTGCGAGAAAAAAAAAAATACAAATCCAGAGTTGGATGAAAAAATTACGAGTTTGTAGTATTATTTGCTTTTCACAGAGCAAGTTGCGTACATGCCCCTAAAATTAATTTTTCATATTTTTCATTTTTATAGCCTTGTAAAATTCTATGAAACATCACATGAAAATCCATTTTTTCATAAGTTTCTTCCGTTTCATGCTACCCTGCCCTGAATGAGGTCGGTTCATTCAATTTTCGAAATAAACAAAGGTTTTTTTATATTACGTGGTAAAGTTGCGAATTCTTGAATGAACAATGTCAAATTTTATTTTTTTTCACAGTTTTTTCCGTGCGTATTTCAGTTATTGGTAGAACCTATCGGTATACCTAGTGTTGTAACATCAACTCTGACGTCCTGAGAGGGTTTATTTGTTTTTGTGGTGTAAAAAATAAGAAATCAATCAAGGTAGCCTGCGAGTGTGTGGGTGCCTAGTCGCGGATGTACTACGTGTTTGGCGGAAGTTTGGCGGAAGTTTGGCGGAAGTCGCGGTCAGAGTGGGAAACGCGCGGACTGTAGAACCTCCTGGAGTACGGAATATGAACGTCGCAACAAAATACATTACAGGGAACATACCGTGGGAAACCTAGTTGGCAAACCACGGGCTGATTATTTAACCCTAGTCTGCCTGAGTGGGGTCAGATTGACCCCACGGGAGTTTCAACTCTTTGCCATTTCTCGTGGTATGCACGAAATTTTTTGTCCTTCACAAATAGCTCTACAAAAACATCTNATGTGTTTTTTGATATTTCTATGATTAATCATCGGAGGCGATAACAAAGTCACGAGTTAATACTAATCTTTTTCTGGGCTGTATGACATCGTTTTCGAGCATGGAAATTCAACGGAAAACTCTCACGTTCACGTAAATCTTTTTCCCCCTGTAAATAACCGAATTCTCTCATTTTTGTTTCTCTTTCAAGATAAATTAATTACTGGAGATGTTTTTGAAAAATTCCATCTGTGATTTCACTAAGTTACTTGATAGTTAGCGATGCCATGAGTCTACGTACCCCGGACATGTCCTCGTTTTGGCACCCAATCCGGGATGTCCGGGGAGTTCCTGAAACACGCCGAAATGTCCAGGTTTTTAAGGATTTTTCACTCAAATTCAGTTTTTGAGCTGTAAGCAGTCAGAAATCATCGCGGAAAAAGCTTACCTTTCTGGTTTGCACGGTGGATCAAAAGCACATATCTTTATAGTTTTATTTTAAAATTTGCCTCGCGGAAGGTACATCTTCATCCTAAATTGAGAAAGAGAAAAAAGTAAGAACATTGAAGCCGGTGTATAAGGAATGTGAGGATGTCTTTTTAAAGCAAATGTCCTCTTTGTTTGAAACAACTGTCCTCTTTCTGACGCATAAATGGATTGCATTTTGCAACAAGAAACCAGGAGCAATGCAATGTTGCAAAGATTGTGCAACTTCTTTTGTCTTGGGAGAAAAACCTGATTATCCATTGACAGTTCCTATTTCACTCGCTAAAAACTGTATTTAAGACAAAAATTACCATCTAAATGTCTTATTTCTTCATGATTTCAGTAATTTTATTGCAAAGGCATCATTGCAATACTTCTGGTTCCTTTTTGCAAAATGCAATCCAAATGGATCTATTTGCCCTCTTGGTATTCAAAGCGTTCTCTTTTTATCCTCATTTTTTGCTCACCCAGTCCTCATTTTTAATTTTAAGGTATGGCAAACCGAATAATAGAATATTTTGACTTTATTTGTTGCAGATCGAACACAAAATTGTGAAAAAAAATCGAGCTTAAGGACAGTGCTGGAAACTACACTGAAACCACTCTACCAATTCAACAAGCAATCTTTCGAGGATAAAATCACAGAGACTGGAATCAGAATCACACGTCGTGGGAAAGAACACTAAAAAGTGTGATGTGAACTTAACCGACAGAGACTCGAGCGACTCGACGTTCATGGTAACATGTGACCGTCGAGGGAAATCTCCATGAATGAGGAGCTCAGCCACGGCAGCTTTTGGCGTTTGGGAAATTTCGGGTAGTGAGGTTTTCTAATGATGATTCAAAATCCGATTCTGGATTACAGCTCGACGTTGAGTCATTTTCTGGGGCTGCGCCCGCATCTGCTGAGCGTGACGCCGAGCAGCTCCGGGAGCGAGAGCGGAGAGAGCCCGAGTCCACCGATGCCGCGCAAGTCCTTCACCATCGACGCCATCCTCGGTCTTCGCCCCAACAAGCAGGCCCAGATCGGGGCCAACGCCGCCCTCGACTTCTCCGCCACGTCCAACTGTAAAAGAGCATGTACGTAGTTTTTCCCGTTCTTCATCAGTTTAATCATAATTAGGTAGGTACAGTAATGGACCACTGAACAAGGTACGAATTTAAGCATTCTGATACATGTTTCTTAACCAAAATTTCACGTAGAGCACAACTCGCGCAATGAAAATTACTAAAACCAATTCCTAACGAAGACATTGACGTTGTTATTTCACATTGGTTATGAGGAATTTGAACTGCCCGCTCACAAGAAACTCAAAGCTCTGCGTGAGTCAAACTGCGCACTACATAACGGTTTCGGCAATCTTCTCTATCGAGCAATGTTCATTTCCTATCATGTGTTGTTCAATTCATAAGTAATTTGCTATAGCTGAACAAAAGCGTCAAGATTGAGGTTGCCAGATTTTTAAATTGCAGAGACTGTCATGATAAATGTTTAGCGCGCGATGTGAATCACGTAGAGCATTGAGTTTTCATGAGCGGGTGGTTTGAATTCACGCATCAAGAATCATTAAATATCTTCGTAAGGAGTTTATTTCAGTAATTTTCGTTGTGCGTATTGTGTTTTACGTGAAATTTTGGTTAAGATACATGGATCGGAATGCTGAAATTCGTTCCTTGTCTAGTGGTCCATTAAGTTCTCTGACCAGAGCCGCCCAAACACAGGATGAGCCGCGGGACAAATGGACGTATTTCTGCTATACGGGACCAGAGACAGGTGGGAAAGAAGGGATGTGCTCGTCAATTGAGGGCTGTAAGAATGAATGGCAATTATAATGCGCCAGTGACGTCAGAGGCGACGACGGAACCGACGCTCGACGATCCGACGCATTAACTACTCATAAGCCTTGTCCACAACGCCCTTGTCACATGCCCATGGCTTGTGAGCACCACATACAGTTTTTCCGTTTGGTACAATGTAAAATCCCGCTTTTCCATCTCCCCAAAGGTAAAAGCGCCCACTTATACATTGCTTCTTATCCATTTTCTACAGCATATCTCATCTTTTCCACCTGTTTATAATTCAATTTAGCAGAGATACGTCCCAATTAAAGTGACGAGCTCATGCAGCAGGCGGGGAGTGGGGCGTCCATAGGATATTTTCGAAATTTAATGTGTGGAGATGCAATTCATAGGCGGATCCAGACAATAGGCGGTCAGAAGGGCTCACCTCAGAAAATTTCCGAAATTTCAAAGCATAACGTGCAGTTCGCGTGAATTTCGTCATCAATAATTTCCGAATATAAGCGTCCTTCCTTCTTCTTTCCTTTGTTCCTTCTTTCATCCTTCCCTCTTACTTCCTCCCTTTTTCTTCCTCCTTTTTTTGGGCAAACGGGACAATGTACGCACCGCACCCCCTTGATCCGTCCATGATGCACTGATGCAGTTCTGAGCTTGAATCGCTCTAAAGCCCCTCGAATAGCTGCGATACTGGGATCAATCATGTCTCCCGTGCG